TATTTGTTTCCTGTATTCCTTTCTGTGATTCCTTCTGTAAAACTTGTCCACATCACTGTTTTACATTCTTTTCGCTATAAACATAGGCAGCAGTCCAGCTGCAAAAATCACTTTGTCACAACGTTATGCTTTCGTTGTTAGAACGTTATTCTGTGGACTCCCATTTACGTTGTCAAAACGTTGTAGCCTAACGTTGTCATACATCATTTTCACGTCGCCACAAGGTTAAAGTTATTTGATGTTAACGTACTTCACGTTGTTTTAACGTTCTCTTTAACGTTAATAGTTGAATAGTTTCCCCAGAATATAGACCATTCTTAGCCAATATGCATGACCTCGAGGTCAAATCGAAAGCGAGGCTTAAATAGGTTGACCCAACCTTGAAAATGGCGACCTCGAAAAGGAAAGATTACTGCTGTGTGCCTTTGCGTTGGAGTGATGCCCGTAAGGATTTTATGGTATCTTTTCACCATATTTCCAAGAATAAGATCAGAAGAAGGCAGTGGTTGACGAAAATACGGAGATCCTCGAAAATGATTCATAGTAAGTACAAAATAATTACGGCACATGGCATAGTCTAGATCTGCCGTGTAATGTACAAACTGTTCACTATGCAAGGTTTTAATATCAGGGGCACATGTACAATGTGAATGTCACACACACACAGACACATTCAAACCCCACCCCACCCCCCACACATTGTCATGTTCAAAATCAGTGATCACCCCTAGTTCATATGTACACAATTGACCCCTCCCCCTGCCTCCCAAAACAAACTGGGAGACACCCCAACCCCCGCAAACACCGCACCTAAAATCATCATCACCCCCTTAGTCATAAATTATGAACGGTCCAATATATTAAAAAAAATTAAGCATATGGACGTGTGCAGACACTCTTGTCATGATGGCATGGAATTTTATTTTGCAAATATTCTGTATCCGTGAAATTAGATTGGCTGCAAATCAAAGTAACATTTCAAGTACATATACATGTATATATGCAGGACATACACATGCTGTTAAAAAATCTTAAATATGTATCTACTTTCAAAATTACTGCATACTGACCAGTACTTCAGGGATACAGGACATATTACTGGACAATCTAATTACACCAACTGAAATATATTTAGTGTTTAAATATCCATTTCAGATGCTGCTTATTAAGAGTCAGAGAGCATGTCACCAGCTCAGGAACCTCCCATAAGGAATCTACCACAGTCACCATCTCAGATACAGTAAGAATGTCAGATCGTATTAAGTTAATATTGCCAACTGACATGGTTTGAAGAATTTAATACAACTGAACTTTGACCTATTATATGCTATGATATTTACATATAAAAATATTGATTGCCAATACTGTCTAAAATATGAAATGATGTTAGCCTCTATTCCTTGATGTATATTTGTAATTCCAGAGATATATTTATTGTTTGTGTGGTCGAAGAGATAATAGTGATGCTTTACAATGCTTATATTACAGTGAAGCAGAGAGTGATACAGCAGCCACTGACCCCAGTCCTACATAGAACAACTCCATCAAACATTACATGAACAGGGGAGGCAACTCAAGGAAAAGGTTGACAAAATAGAAAAATTGAACAGAAAACTTGAACTTGGAAAGTTTGGGTTTGTAAATTCATGTATGATGATAAAATTGATTGAACATTTTACAGTATTCCATCATTTCAAACATTGGCACTGATTAGCTGGAACTTTTTCATTTGTTCAATATCTTCCCAGGTTTTGTGAAGTACCTTGCCCAAACAGCACAAAAATTGACAGACATGAATGTAAATGAAATTGTTTGGTGCGTTTGTGTTGTGTAAATGATGGATGAAAAAGAGACAGCTGTAATACATACACATTGATGGATTTAACTGAATAATAGAAAGGTCTTTCATAATGGCATAGTTGTAGATGTAACTCATTTGCTGCTGTTTAATTAATAATTGATGAAAAGAATGTATTTCATCCTGTTTGAAAAGTGTTAGTTGGGAATCAGAAAACATCATTCATAGGTAAGAGATTATGATAATGTGTAAGGGGAGAAAACTATGATAAATTATGCATTGATCCAGCTGTAATTGTTGCCATTTATGTCAGACTAATCTAAAAGGATACTTCTATCAACATAAACATTGCACCCAATATATTTTCAATTTGCATCCTCTGACAATTTTATTGTTATTCATCAGTATTACAGTTGGAAGCTATTGTGAATGTGTCTATTGTTATTGGACTTTTAAGACACCATTTCAAAATAAATTTTTATTAACTGCACTCCAGGTGTTCGTTATTTATTTGGGTTAATTGTTTGCTGTAGTGTGAATCCTGTTATGTTAATCTTATAATATGTTCTCCTTAAAAATGTCTTCAGTTACAGTGGAACAGAATAAATACACCTGATCTACAATAAATCAATTTTATGGTATAGTAACACAGTATTGAAAATTGGTTCAAATATTCCCCATGCAGGTACCACTTGTCCATTTAGGTAAATTAATTATTCACCTCCAAATCAGTCAAGAAAAAACTTGAAAAAAATCATCCAGTTTTGTCTTGCACATTGTGTCCCACCAGAGACCATATAATAGATATGGTCTCTGGTCCCACTCATGTTGAGTGAAATAAATAGTTTCTACATGATGATGTGGCGATTCGTTTTTCCTCTGCGATTGTAACATGCAGCTACGCGCACATCGCCATCACCACTAGTCCTGTACAACTGAAAATAAATGCGTGAATAAATACCCTATATCTATAAAACAGAGTCGATAGGACAAAACATTTTAAACAGAAAAAATACCAAACAAATAATTTCATCACATGAATAATACAAACAAATTTGTTTGGTCCAGATCCACTCGAGGAGAGCTATCTTGATCTACTATAATCTCGATTATCGAGCTCAAGAATTAACAACACTACTCCCATGTGGAAGTGGATGATTTGAATCCAGGTCAGGAAATACGTTGAGTCTTTTGCTTTGTTCATATGTTGATAAAGTAAACGTAATTGACTTCCCTTGGTAATATTTCCACTATTGTGACTTTAGAGTAGCTTCCCTTCATAAATGCTGCGCAACATGGTAAACGTTACCTAGATATCTAGGTCATATGACTTATCGTGATGTGTCGTGATGTACAGTAATTATTCACCCTTCAATCCGTGGATATGCTACAGAAACATTTGTGTAGCACTTTCCCATTACTCTGCGATTTCCCTGAACTACTGGACAGTTTCGCAATGTACCGTTCAAGGGAAATTTGAAATCAGGAAGTATACATTGAGATTTGTCGCCATTATGCGATTGTGTCCTTGCCCCGTTTAGCCTCGTTTTGGTACAGATATGAATATTCATGAGGCCTCATTAAGAATGGTCTATAGAATCACAAAGCGAAAAGTTTTACAGAAAAGTCCAAGTTGTGACACTAAGTTGTTGAAACGTTGCGAGGAGCCCAAAGCATAATGTTTCCTTAACGTAAATTTGCTACGTTGTTATTACATTGGGACATAACGTTATAAAATGACGTAAAATGAAGTTTTGAAAAACTACGCGAATGAATATATGCTCCAGAGCAGGTGTTTTGACGCTATTTGCTTATAAATACCCTGGTGATGACGAGACGACAGTTATTGACGAGGCAGAACTTTTGAACACGATAGGTAACGTTTAGAGACTTCTCCGCATGGTAAAACAGGTCGTAGATTACAGAACAGAGTGCTAAACACCTTCACTGATGTTGTGTTAGAAACCGTCTTCTGACCAATATACCTGTCCATTTCCTTCAACCACCATCGTTAGGATTTAGCAGAATGGTATTTCAGAGTCTCCTTCCACAGACTTCGGAAGTCACACAATCAATGTTCTTACTCTACCATTACAGGTACTTGGTCAGAACAGCTTGTCGAACATGAATAAATCCACCTTAGCACACACTCTATTACGTAGGGCCTCGACTGCCGCAATGCACACACCTTTCATTTGCCGCGAAATCAGGAATACACAGTACATACTCAGGAGCTCACTTGCAAAGGCCGAAATTCATGATGACTACGAATATAATAAATATTGGCCTTGCTGTCAATGATTAACCTAAAGGTTATAAATGTCGTTACATAATAGGCACATAATATGTACAATGTTGATGTACTAGCGCCGGCCAGTTATAAAATGACCTTTGTCATCCCACTCGGTGAGATACAAATGTTTTGGCTTTTTTTAAATTTGGGGTGTGAGTGTGTGTGTGTTCAAAAAAGAGAAAATACATATGATCTATTAGTGCTAATTAACTACTGGTTTCCCTTTTTGTCTCTTCACTGTTGTTTCACATGCACATATGTAGCTGTGTGTTTTCTAGTTTTTCATTCACCTGAAGAAGGAGAAAGAATTAATATACTCCGAAATGTCGTGTCCATCAAAATAAAGAAGGTGACATCCATAAATTCTTGCCATTAAAGTACGGGTCGATAAACCGAATAAGTGAGTGATCCATCAACCATAGGGTAGTCTGAGATTTACAAAATATACAAACCGTTTAAAGACTTCTTTGAGTGGCATTTATAAGCTGATATGATGAAGAGGAAAATATTATGAGTTGTATACTTCTCAAGATAGTTGAATGAGAAAATAAATATCAATAGCGAGCTTATCGATCTTCATAATGAAATAAAAATGATATTTTGTGCATTTAACGTGGCGACAAGATAAATACGTTGTAAACTTCTCCCTCGGGTAATACGGTCTAATGTACGCCTTTTTGGGTAATACCGTCTGATTTTGTAGCAGTGTCAACCGAGCTGGTAAAAGAATGGAACGATAACACATATTGATTCCCACAGATAACTATAAATGGACAGATTATTATTGTGGACATAGATTGTGGAAAATTATTTTACTTGATTCATATTTGTTAATATATTTGTACCCAATATGTACACAAAAGTATTTGAATTGCAATGCTGAGAACATTGTTCGTGGATGGGTTTTTTAACTGGTTGACTTTCTAGGTGACCTTCAGAGCCTCATATTACTTTCAGCCCTTTGAATTTCAATTTCGAATTTGTTTCAGATGTTGAGTGTTCCACGTCCCAGATTTGTCTGTCTCTTAGTTGTACTTTTCGTCGCAACCTCATTTGTATCATGGAGACGTTTTGATAAGTAAGTATGACATGCCTCTGCTAGGTCCTCAGCCAACCCCAGAACAAGGTAACCAGTTATACATGCTGTGAGACTGCCAGCCAAATCCGAGCCAGGACACAGAGAGTCCAAATTGAGTCCATTCTCCTGGGTCAGCGTGAGCAACAACTGATCTCATGACTGACTTGTTGACGGACGAGCTGACGTTTGAAAGTTCAGACTCGGTTATCAGATGGCTAAAATTCACTACAATCCCCAGTCCAGCTAGGGTCCATGCAGGTAGCCAAAGTATTGTAACCCCACATGGTCCCTAGTATGGCACCCGTGAATGTCCGGGTTAGAATGAACCTTCAGTAACCCATGCTTGTCGTAGGAGGCGACTAACGGGATCTGGTGGTCAGTCTCGCTGGCTTTGTTAACACATGTCATCGGTTCCCAATTGCGCAGACCGATGCTCATGCTTTTGATTACTGGATTGTCTGGTCCAAACTCGATTATTTACAGACCGCCACCCTATAGCTGGAATATGTATGTGTGCGGAGTAAAACTAAACTCACTCACTAGTTGTGATAAATAGTGTTGTCTTGCCACAGTTCTCCATATTCGCCATCGTTAGGGAATGAAACACGGACCCACGCGCATTGATTGCATGATTCTTGCAATATTTTACATATTTTTAAAGATTGATGTTGACCATTTTCGGAAATTTTGGATGGTACTGCAAAACTGCCATTGGGAAATTGACATCCTCACTGGTAAAATAGATGCTCTTTGAAAGCGAAATAGATAGCTGGACAATGGATTGGTTCTGTTCTTACGGACTTTCATACTGTTTAGTGTTTACCAGTGCTTTGCTGCATACAACACCGCACCAAATGATACGAAAAAATTTTCATCTATACATGATCTCTTGCAGGATTCAAATCTTACGACAGCCTTACCCTTCGAGAACTGGACATCAAAAGCAAAGTCATGGACTGGAAATGCATATCAGTGATGTCGAAATCGATGATACAAATAGGCATGCATCTCCAAGAACCTCAAAGATGTCAATTGTCAACCCTGAACTTGGGTACCGACTTAATGAAACAATCACAGTGAAGATTGTACTATTCGACCACAAGAACAGAATGAAAACCCGAGGTGGAGACATGCTCATTGTATGGATGCGAGACCAAGGAAAAGGAGCAGCCTCAGCCGGAACTGTTACTGACCATGGTAACGGGACATATACTGGTACCCTGCCCATCTTGTGGACCGGACAAGCTGTCATCCGTGCAGCAATGGTGGCTTCCAGCGAAAAAATGGCTTTTGCAAACAGGGAATTTAGACACGGATACCGTGGAAAGATTCTAATATGCATATTTAATACAACTACATTAACAGAGACTACCCCGGGGCACATGGAAAGCAGATTACTGAACAAGGGCAAAGTTTGTAATTTAACAGATAAACATTATGGTGTTCCATTGTATTGTGATAGACCAAAGAAGAGAGGAATTCAGTGCGACCACTGGACAGGTGTCAATTCTCTGAAATATGTAGGATTAAATCAAAAGAATAACAGCAAATGGTATTTTTCGTAAGTATCACTCCTGAAATAATCAATTACTTGTTGTTGTTGTTTTTTCAATCAGACTTGATACCTATTTCCTATTTTCAGTATTTTATTATAGAAGAACAATGACAGATATTTGGTTTGTTATTTAAAACGAGCAATAACCAAAATAGATAGCGATGTGAATCCAATGGAATCAAGACAAAGCAATTGTTGATGTCCAGCCTTTGATGTTACTCTTTCACAACATTTGAGATAAAACAATGTCTTTGTATCAATGTCATATGACTCTTGCTCAGAAGCTGTTCCGATACGATTACAAGATTTCAAAACGTTTTACGGTGGACGTATGGAGGAGCGAGTGAGTGTGTTTAGTATTACGCCGCACTCACCAATATTAAAGCAATATGGCGGTGGTCTGTAAATAATCGAGTCTTGTCCAGACAATCCAGTGATCCACACCATGAGCATCAATCTACGCTAATGAGATACAATGACATGTATCAGCCAAGTCAGCGAACCTGACCACCCGATCCCCGTAAGTCGCCTTTAACGACAAGCATGGGTTGCTGAAGATTAATTCTAACCCGAATCTTCACGGGTCACATATGGAGGACATTTCCTAATTTGACGTTTCAATTACATATTGATGTCCGATGCAATTCCTTATTTCGACTTATACCATACGTCCCCATGTTGCTGTTTTTCACTTGAATAATTGACGATTTCTTGCATGTGTTTATGATGGATGATGCACTGATGCGTTCATTTTACTAGTCAACAGAGATTCTCAGACAGTCGTACAATCGAATCAACTCATAGAAATTTCTTGTTGATGGCTAAAGGATTGTAACGTTTTTCTTCAAATGCTGCGAATGAAGTGGAATACTGGAGTTACGGAGTTCCTGAGGACCGAGCCAGCATGCTGGGAACGACTCTAACGTGATAACCCAAAGGTTTATCTGGTACCATGTACAAATGAGCCACAATGCTCATTATGATATTGAATGAAAAATGTTGTTACAATGACATTAGACACATAGTACACTACAAGTCCCTAATTGTTAGACGCCAATATGTATTTTGCTTGAACCAAACCATAATTAATGATTTCAGATCGGCCGGCCCACAGATTCTTCCCGATGTTGTCCGAGTCAATATTTCAACTGGTATGTTCTCTGTATATTCAGTTGATATGCTTAACTTATATCAAGTCTTCCTAAACAAGACGATTCATACTATATAAAAAGTTGCATCTCTTAACTGTTGAGAGACTAGGCGAAACCCAAAGGCTGTTATTTCTTTGAATGCCAATACATACGTAACAATTCCTCTCACCTTGTGAAATATGTAACCCTAACACTTACCCTCTTCCTAACCCACTTCGCGTACGTTTCTGTTTACTGTCCCAAGAAGCAAATTGTTAGCAGCAAGGATGAAATCTGCAGAAACACATTTTAAGAACAAAATCATATGCATTGTTAGGGATATGGGTACTTACAGAAAAACATATTTGGTCTTAATTTACATTTCAATAGGAAATAATGAATCTTTCAAAAGTTATTAAATTAATGATGACACCTCTTAGACTCTAACGTCTTGATTCAAGAGTTTGATGTTTGCTTGCTGTTTTGAAGAATGACAGTCCTCTAGAGTCATGAATGTGCGTGACTATTATGCTTATGAATGACACCGTTGCACAAAACAGCCTTAGCGCTAGAATTACCTCATGTCCTTAGGTTTGGTTAAGAAAAGATCTGTCAGTTTCTGTCAGCACGGACTATTGAAAAGCATGGCGTTGTTATTGTCAATCTGAACGTTAATGCCTGGCTAGAACTGACAACAGAAAGGCCCTCCTCACAGGGGGTTGAAGCATTATGAAGTTATTGTCCTCCTGTGGGGGTACGTAAATCCCAAAACATTAAAAGTTAATTTACACATACCATTACTTTTAACTGTATAATATATGTTATTTTGATTTTTGGCTAAATTGTATAACCTTGCTGACAGCTGAAGGGATGATGTAAATCCAGCTAGGGTTCATACAGGAAGCAAGTGAACTGTAAGTTCCAATGGTCCCTAGTATGGTGATGTACCTTCAGTTGTTGGCAATCTATAGCCTGTTTTTTATGTTGTATTGTCATATGTAGTTAAGATGTTTTAGAGTTCATTACTAGTTTTAAATTGGAATCTGTGATAATCTAGTTATTTTACTGTCCTTCACTGACAGGGTTTTACAATTTCTCTATATTTATTATGAAATTATAACCTGTTTTTAGTCACGATATGGCTGAAATATTGCCGATGTGACTTAAAATCTTAACTCATTCACTAATTAAATGCCTATGGTCATCATATATTGACCCTGATTTGACCATGAAGCCACTCAGCTTGACCACTCGATCCACGTTCTTCTCTTTTGAGCTCTCGGTGTGTATGTCCCAAGCATTCTCGTCATACGAGACGACAGAAGCGTATCGGATTGTCAGACTTTGTGAATTGTTTGACATCATCCACAACTGATTTCAGCCACTATTTGTATACTTGAAGAACAGTTTGGTGTGAGCACACCACGAAAACACAGCTTACTATGTCCAGTTGTCTGTCCAATTACAACAGGCTTGTAAGTTACATAAAATTCATAATTTTAAACCATGCATGTATAAATGTAACTACCTAATGTTTCAGCGCAAGACACATCGCTGTCGGCAAAGATTCAGTGTAGCAGGGCAAGTGTCCGGAGTTCCTGGGTGTCAAAACCTGTAGGCTTCTTTTATAACTCCACCTGGCATCCCCTGGAGTGTTTTATCGACGTCAGTGTTAAGGACTACAACCGCTGCCTTACCAACAGAACTCTCAGAATGTTTGGTGATTCGACGGTCAGACAGTGGTTTTCATTCTTTTACAAGCATCTGAATCTTACTTGGAGAATAGGTCCAAAGCAAGCAATAGAGCAAACTAACGGCAAGTGGTATTCCTATTCCGAGGCATACAGCAAGAGGTTTAACTATACTGTCTTTTGGTCTCCGCACGGTCTGCCAATGACTTTTGACAATGCCAGTAGAACTGCCCTTAGACCATCATTTGTTCATCTGGATGAAATACCTTCTGGTTCAAGAGACATTGTGCTCATTCATCTATATGCTCATTTCCTATTCTACCCTGTACACATGTTCAGGGCTCAAATACAGCGCATCAAACAAGCCATACAACGATTATTGATGCGTTCGCCAGATATAAAAATTGCAATTAAAGGACCTCACTATTTTGTAGTGACTAAAATTGTATCTACGTTTGGTAGAATGTGGGGCCCTGTATATGACAGAATTATTAGACAAGAGTTTGTAAACCTGTATGACCGTGTCATTTACCTCGACTATTGGGAAATGCTTCTTTCTATTGAGAGTGCCAGTGTTCATCCAGATGAAAAACTGATAGATACGATGATTCGCAATTTTCTCGGATACGTATGTGAAAAGTGAAGATTTCATTTGCATCCTTCGACGTATCGTGTTTTATTTTGTTTTCTGAAACTTCATACTTTACATACAAACAACGGTTATTTGTTGTACTAATCCGCCCCATGAATATGGTCGTTGTTTGTGACTGTCTCGCGTTACCTCATATTAGTTTCCACTCACGACCTACTGATTGTAATGCTGTATTAGTGATTGATATAACAAGCTTGCCGCCTGCAGTAGATAAATATCGCCTAAGTAGTAACTTTGTTTCCAACGAATCGAAAATATTATTACAGACAGGGCTGATATACTAACTGTATATTACATTTAGGATTTGCCGAACTAAACAAGAGACAAGTGTTTGATTGTGGATGTTTTTAGTATTTCTCAAACTGCACTAACAAGTGGATTGGGGCGTTTATGTCACGGTGACCTGCTTTAACTAGTGAATTGATTCATTCACGTGTGCGTACTGTCATTCTGCGTCTATGTCATTGTGTCCCAGTTGCGTGGATCGATGCTCATGATGTCGATCACTGGATTGTCTGGTCCAGACGTAATTATTTACTGACCGCCGCCATATAGCTGGAATATTGCTCAGTGCCATATAAATTTAAACTCACTCACCCAATCACTCATTCTGCTTCTTTTTTCGAGAAGTGTGCTACTCTGTCTAGCAACTGTCAGAAAAACTGTACGTTTTTTTTAAACTACTCGTTTTAGTGCCGTGGCAAGGGGTGAATATAGATACTTAGCGGACTAATGCATGAAACTTTGCACAGTGCTGGGGAATATCATGATAAAACATATTTGTTTGGTGTGTCCGACTTATGGGGTTCATTTTCCAAAAGGCCCAAGATGGCGTCCAAGATGGCCGCCAAAAATCAAAGATTTCCAATTCTAACACTAAGTGAATTTACCCCGCTGGATTAAAGCAGAAAACCTTGCACATTGCTTGGGAACATCATGATGAACAAATTTGGTGGGTGTGTCCTATTTTTGGGCCTATGTTCCGAAAAGTCCAAGATGGCCGCAAACAATCAAAGAGTGCTGAGGTCCACCCAGAATAGTGAACGACTATAACAAATTTGTTTCAATATGTGAGATATATTCGCCGTTCAAAGGGCTATTTCTAACAAACTATCCCAAAAAGGAAACGCATAGGTGTGTTGTATTTTTTAAAATCTTTTAATTACTTATTGTATTCAAACAATCATCAAAATAAGTAACAAAAGTGTTGATAACATGATTTTACACTATTGCACAAGTAAAAAATCGACTTCACCTGAAAATATGTATTTTGATGAGATTTATTACAAGGATTAAAAAGGCATCGCCACAACGCAACAGAAATCACCTTCCAGTTGAAATTGTGCAGCAAAGAGCATGCACTGTCTGGCTATAAAAATTCAGATTACTTACGGAAATCGGCATTCGTTTTGAAGGAGTTTAAAGGTCTAATCACTACGCCACGTCTTGACGTTGCGACACGGAACATCGCCATTGAAAGAATGCAAGCTGGAGATTACCAATCTTCTGGTGCCAGGGAACTGAATGTTAGTCTGAGCACGATATCACGGCTTGCAGCTCGTTACAACCAAAAAGGTATAACAAATGACCGTCCCCGTACAGTCAGACCTCGAGTCATCACTGCAGCCCAAGATCGGTACATCCGGGTACTACATTTGCGTGATCGTACCGCCAAGGGTGGGAGCACAGCAGCCGTGCTTCGTCGTCACCATTGCGCTCAACGTCTCCGTTATCAAAATTTATCCACTTGGTTGTATAGACATTTCCTTCCTCTAAACTGATCTAATATTTCATGTACTAAAGTCTATTTGTGGACGAGTTATACATGTTTGAAAATACAACATTTTCACAACATATATCTCAGTTATGCGTACCCCTTTTTTAATAGTATACTTTCAAGAAATATAACAAACAAGATTTATGTTTAGTGGTAACAGATATTATTAATCATCCAATTAATGAAAAAGTTATTGTTTTGATCAGTCACGTGAAATCATTTTGTCAAACATCGGTCTCAGTGATTCAGAAGTCTTTTAACAGTTCCCATTGCAGTTACAGAGCGATGTGCATCGAAGTTGAGAAGATTTACAAATGCACTTCGTTGAACATAGAGGTTTGGACTTTTCGGAAAATAGGCCCGGAAATCTGGGACAGCCAAAAGACATGTCTTGTCATGATGTTCCCTAGCACTGTGCAAGGTGTTCTGCTTTAATCCAGCGGGGAAAAGTCACATAGTGTAAGAAGTAGACTTTCGGCGGCCATCTTGGACTTTTCGGAAAATTGGCCCCACAAAATCGGACACACCTCGAAAATATGTAGTATCATGATATTCCCCAGCACTTTGCAAAGTTTCATGCTTTTTCGGGGGTGTAACGATTTACTTCAAAATCGAACCTAAGCTACTGTCACCACTGATCACCATGATTATCTACAGCAAAGAAGTGATACACAATTAACAGTTGTATTCTAAACTAATTAAGTTTCAAAATCAATACATGTTTCCGTACAACGACAGTATGAATTCAATGACAGTACAATGGACAGGAAACCTGGGTACACCCTTGGCAAGGACATACCCTGATATCTTATTTACATTCATTATAACCTTTGGAAACAGATCAGCGTGTATACATGACATGTAAATCAAGTGCTACTAAAGGCCACTAGTATAATATGGTTTAAGTTATCTCCATACCTTGAAAGTTATCTATTACACTTTCCATTAAACGTACGCATTTGGCTTACCTATATTAGGTCTTGTAACCATAAACTCCCAATAGAAACAGGTAGATGGTATAATATTAGTAAAGAAGATAGATTATGTACATTATGTAAGACTACAATAGGAGATGAATTTCACTTCATGTTATATTGTCCACATTTAAGAAAAGTAAGAAATTCATGTCTAACAAACTATTATTGTAATTATCCATCATTAGATGAATTTATATCCCTAATGTCTTGTACGCATAAAGCACTACTGTTGACAATAAGCAATTATGTGAAATCCGGTCTACGTAAGCTCCCATAAACAAATCTGTAAGTTTGTATTTTTTTCTCTATGTCACTATTGTGATCTTCATGAGAATAAACCGACCGCCTCTGTGGTGTAGTGGTTAGAGCGTCCGCCCGGAGAGCGGAAGGTCGCGGGTTCGATCCCCGACCGCGTCATACCAAAAGACGTTAAAATATGGTAGTTGTTGGTCCCTGCCTGGCGCTCGGCATTAATGTGTACAACAAGGACTGGTCGGCTCGGAGTCAGTATAATGTGTCTGAGTGGGGTATTCATGCTTCACTGCGGCATGGTATCTCAGTGGGCTAGCACTATAAAACCAGCTTCAGTCTGGGCTATTACAAGCAGCCGCACATACACATACACACGCATGCACGTCGTCATATGAGCGAAATATTCTCAAGCACGACGTAAAACCCAATTTCACCTCACCTCACCTCATGAGAATAAACCATTCATTCATTCAATACACTTTTTGTTGGTTTTGTTTGTTGTGTAACGCCCACTCAGCAATATTCAACCTAAACGACGGTGGTCTGTTACTAATCGAGCGTGGATAAGGCAATCTAAAGACAAAATCTAATGTACCACAAGATTATAAATTAGGCGATAAACGTACTGTGTTTGTAAATTAGCTGAATGTTAGACGACTTGATAGTCTCTAAGTTTCATTTGAAACCGAACACGTAACAATCTATTGTATAAACATCTCTTTCATAAACTACTCCTTTGATTTGGTCATCTCTGGCTTTCACGCCTCTCCTTTTGTCAACTCCCTGTCTTCAGCACCTGACTGCTTTGCCAATTATGTTTTCTTTGTTACATTCATCATAGATACATCCCGTCCTCCACATGTATCATTCCGCTTGACAACGGTATAAGAATCTGTACCGAAAAATTGCACTCACGTCATGAAAGTAGTTGCTATTAATAAAGTTTGTTCAGTATTGTATGTCCCAACTTCTTCAAATGCCACCCAAAGACGTCAACCGTATGCATATATTCCATAAACGATTTAAAATCGAACTTGTTCGTTCCGCGGAAGACACTGCATAATCCGACATGGCACGATAGGCGAATTAAGCTCGTCCGTGAAGGGAGTGGTGGGAGTGGTTCATTTTTCTATTTAATATTTTAACACCAAAATATACTCAGCAGCAAAACAACGTCAGTACGAATTCAAATTAGATAGGCACTGTAATCAAATCATTACAGAAATGGACATAACAAGCGGATCAAAATCTGTATTAACTAGGCCTGGTTTTAGTCCACAATGTGTATACTGAAAATAATGAAATAGTGACACTTTTAACGTATTATAAGTGCCTATTTTTGCTGCACGTTTAACGGTTGACAACATAATTAGGTGCAATGTAGTGTCGTGGCACCAGTTATCACTTTTATAGTATTTCTTGGTGTTTCTGTTCATTGTTGTACTGTATTTGCGATTTTGTATATTCTTTTAAAAGTCTGTTTACTTAAACATTTTTTCCATTGCTGCATTTTCATCTTTAATCTGTAAAACAATAATTATAATATTCTACAGCTTGTCCTCCTACCTTATATTACTATCTTACTGGCTGGAAAATATACTCATGATATTTGTGCTTTTGCTTAAATAAAGTTCAGAAAATGTCAGTGTTTCCTTTGTCTATATTTTAGTTATGCTCTGAAACAGATGGGCCTTGTTCCTGATTCCTGGTCACTTTATCCAGAGCTTCATACACTGGCAGTGGCAAATGACTCATGGATGTGATAGGTCCCCGGCAATCCCCGGGTATAATGGGTGAAACCCACTCACTCACTCACAGAAGGGAAGTGGTCAGACTGGTTGTGACTCATCTTGTCCCAAAGTAATGGGGTGTAATTTATACCATCCTCCACTGCTCTGTCTGGACATGTTGATTGCCTTCCCTCTGCAAGTGTTTTGGACATGTAATCGACGAGTCATGATGTCCATACCTTTGTGAGAACACCCGGCATCATCACTAATGTATTGTGATTCATAAACGATAATGGGTTGTAACTCATAACGCCGACCACTGCTCTGTCTGGACATGTTGATTGACTTGCCTTTGCAAGTGTTTTTGATATGTAATCGCCGAAGCATGGTATGCATACCTTTTCGAGAACACCCGGTATCATCACTAATTTATTGTGATTCATAAACGGTAATGGGTTGTAACTCATAACACCCACCACTGCTCTGTCTGTACATCTTGACTGACTTGCCTTTGCAAGTGTTTTTGACGTGAGGCATGATACAATGTACGCAAGCCTTTGTGCGAACACTCGGTATCTTCACTATTTTATTACGATTCAAAAACGATAATATGGACAGACTTTATGGATAACAACTTCTTTATTACGTGAATGCGACGTTTCGATTCAGATTCTTGTACCGTTGTTCAGCATGAATTTAACATGAGTGAGTGAGTTTAGTTTTACGCCACACTCAGCAATATTCCAGCTATATGGCGGCGGTCTGTAAATAATCGACTCTGGACCAGACAATCCAGGGATGAACAGCATAAACATCGATCTACGTAATTGGGATAGGAATGAAACGTGAAGTTGGGGCGAAGTATATATAAGTATATGCTGAGTGTAACAAGAAAGCCACATTAGTAACATAATTGGCAAGGCTGTAAGCTAATGGTGGTGAACTGACAAAGAGAAAGGCGTAACATCCACTTATACACACATCTACCTGGCTTCAAGGTCATACACAGTAACAGACAACATGCATATTTACTGACATGAGGCCTTAGCAAATACAAGACTAAAGTAACACAAGTTCTCTTGTGTAGTTTTCATCTCATCTAGTCCTGTAAGAGTTACGCCCCTTATACCATTCTGCACCCTTACAGCTACATCCTTTAACAAGGCAGTCTAATTATGTGGACTTTCAACAGTAGGTTTCCTGTTAGTTACAAACAATCTGCCTTGCTTACACAGAATGAAAAATTAAGGGAAGCGTAAACTTACATAATTCTTGACACTAGGCCTTAGCAAACACCTACAGAAACACGAGACCTACAGAAACACAAGACCTCTGGTGAAACCCGTCAGCCTGTAGTTTTCACCCAATCTAGTCCTGTAAGAATTACGCCCCTTATACCAATCTGCACGCTTGCAGCTACTTCCTTTTACAGAACCCGTGAAGGTCCTTGTTAGGATACTGATCTTCAGTAACCCATGTTTGTCGTAAGAGGCGACTAACCGGATCGGGTGGTCAGGCTCGCTGACTTGGTTGACATATGTCATCGGTTCGCAATTGCCCAGATCGATGCTCATGCTGTTGATCACTGGATTGTCTGGTACAGACGCGATTACCGCAGCCATATAGCTGGAATATTGCTGAGTGCGGCGTAAAACTAAACTCAATCACTCACTCAATTCATTTCACAGGGCCGTCTAATTATGTGGACTTTCAAGAATAGGTTTCATATCACTAACAAACAATCTGCTTGCTTACTTACAATACATAATTCAGAGAAGCGTCAATGATTGATGATAACGTACACTAAAGGTATGTTTTTTGTCTTTAACTTAACTGCATTGACGTATGTATTGCTATATTTTGAGCAAAGCGGTATAGACCTTTCACCAGATAATTCAACAGTGTGACTTCTGCTAAAACCTTAGATGAGTACTTTCAGCATTCTAAAGCTCCATCAAAATTGGTACAACGAGAGATACATTGCTGGGTCCAGCAAATGTCCAACCAAATCACTGTCATAAAAATACACCGTACATCATCCTTAACATCGTCAGGAAAACACTTTTCAATTCATAGAAAATATACTCAGCAGAAGAAAAACGTCTGTACGAATTCAAATTTAGATAGGCACTGTAATCAAATCATTACAGCAATGGACATAATAAGCAGATCAAAAACATTTTTTGTGTACAATATCTTGACACATCAATGAATAACTCAGCACAATTTCAAGACATTACGTGAACGTTTGCAGTCCATTCAGACTCTTGACTTCAGTATCTAGCGGCAATAACTGCAGCACAACGTCTATGCATGGAGTGCACCAATCGATTGATGAAGGCCATTGGCCCCTGGAACCACTTTCTGAGAAAGGCCTGGCGCAATAAATTGGCTGTGTTCGGTCTTGGTATGAATTTCATCCGAAAGATGTTCAATTAGGTTTAAATCAGGACTAGGGGCTGGCCACTGCATAATGTTGACACCGTTTTGCTGTAGGAAGTCCCCTGTAGCTCTGGCAGTATGGGCCCGGGCGTTATCATGCTGGAAAATGTTGTTCTGGTGGGATCTGCGAGTTTGGTCGATGTAGCGCACCGCTATGATGCCGCCTCCTCTCCCTGGACCAAGGTTCTGGAACAACACAAGGCACACTCTCTCGTTCAGTCCTATTCCACCCTATACCATGATGCTTGCCCCTCCCTATGAGTCTCTTTCCATAACACATTGGTCTGAGTAACACTGGCCACGTCGTCGCCATATTCTTGTTCTGCCATCTGTAGTTGATACGCAGTACCGACTCTCATCTGTGAACAGAACAGTTCTCCATTGCCTGTATCGCTGTTCACGCCAATGGGGTGAGGATAGGTCCACGGTAAGGTCTACGGCAATGGAGGTTCCCGCTGTTAAGACGTCGGCGTACTTAATCAGTACTGATTGGTCTTCCGTGTGTTCCCACTGTCTGACGTGCTGTTTCGGATGCCTGCATGAAGGGATTCTGTACATGCTGTCGCACAACATGGCGGTCTTGTCTTCTTGTGGTCACCCATGGTCTGCCAGTAAGGGTGCGATCATTTGTAGTGTTGGTGGCCAGGAAACGTTGCTGCAGCCTGTAGATGGTCCGAACGTTGACCTGGAAGTGATTGGCAACGGCTTGTGCAGTGTGGCCAGCTTCAAGTCTTCCTAGCGCCTGGTTCCCCTGAGCAGTCGTGAGTCGCGGCATCCTGCTGACGTTGTAATGTGAATGTTTCAACCAGGTTTGGGGGTGCATTTTATAGGGCTGGTCCTTGTGAACAGTACGTGCAGCATGAGTTGCATGAAAAACATGGAAAACACCGTACCATCTGCGAGATCAGGTTGCATTTTTGAGAACATTTCCTGGGTTCCATTCTGAGTTTGGGAAGGAATGGGTTGACAGTTATCCGTTTCTGCGAAGGAAAATTCCAAACTGACGTTTCTTTTGCTGCTTAGTATGTATTGACTATTTAGTCAATGCAATAATTTAATACGTAACAGCTTAGTTTTATATGCCCAACCACACACGACCGAAACCAGCCTATTGTTTTATGTGCCGTGGTGCTGTACCCCCGTGCCCACATTGTAATGGTTTGGTCTGGCCTACCTATTTTACTTGTGGAGCGACCTTTCCTGAAACTATTCTGGTTGTCCTCTAGAATACTGTTCTCTTCCACGTGCCTTGTTAGTCTGTTGTTTGAAACATAGCAGTACAGTTAATATGCAGCGCTGGCAGTAGTGAGTCCCCTATATGCCAGTGGATCCCTGAGATCATCAGTATAGTTTTTAGGTATGGGGTTGATTACACCTTTTGTCCAACATTGGGGGATACAACAAGTTCGAAAACAGACTGAAAATAGTCTATTGCCGTACTGTTTTTCAGTACCTCTACTGGAATTCCATCACGACCACAAGCTTTGCCTTTATTAGCACTGAGAATTGCATGTTTCAATTCTTCCAGTGTAATGTCATTACCCAAATCATGTTCTTCCTGTACACCAGTAACAGAAGGGTTGTGGTTACAGTTCAGGAGATCGGAGTAGCACATCCGCCAAGTATCAATGGCAACAGTCTCATCTGAACTCACTGAACGAATAGTGGGACGGTGAGGTAGCATCGAGGTTTAAACGTTCGCTCGTCACGCCGAAGGCCGGGTTCGATTCTCCACATGGGTACAATGTGTGAAGCCCATTTCTGGTGTCCCCCGCCGTGATATTACTGGAATATTGCTATATGCGGCGTAAAGCTAAATTCACTCACTACTGAAGACCCACTATAACCCGGATCTTTCCAGGTACGTGGTGTCCCTAACGCAGTGATTTTTGTAACTTGGGAATTCTTGGAAATTGTTTTCATTATTTGGAACATGATTGTGGCGAAGAGGTTTTAAAGTGTACGAACATGGATCCCCAGCATTGACAATCTTGTGGGAAAGTTGTCAGAAAGCAGAATTCTGGTGGTTCAGTTTTTGACCTGTAATGTTCGAACGGGACGTGAGGGAGTATGAGTGGCATAGATTTGGTGCTTCGCCCGACCCTTATCTGGCGCTGTTCCGCATAAAAGTGTCAAAGGTGTGACGCCAGTGCTTCAGACTTACTGGATATTTTATGTTTTGTAAACCATTCTAAACAAGCAAATCGTTTACCAGGTACCCAAATCTTATTAACGTTTAGCTATAAATTTTGTATAAATAGGGATGTGGTTTTACAAAGCTTTCAAGTCAGCTAAATATTGTTTGTTTATGGTTGGGGCTATACATTGTAGTTTTACAAGGCTTACAAGTCAGCTAAATATTGTTTGTTTATGATTGGGGCTATACATTGTAGTTTTACAAGGCTTTCAAGTCAGCTAAATATTGTTTGTTTATGATTGGGGCTATACATTGTAGTTTTACAAGGCTTTCAAGTCAGCTAAATATTGTTTGTTTATGATTGGGGCTATACATTGTAGTTTTACAAGGCTTTCAAGTCAGCTAAATATTGTTTGTTTATGGTTGGGGCTATACATTGTAGTTTTACAAGGCTTTCAAGTCAGCTAAATATTGTTTGTTTATGGTTGGGGCTATACATTGTAGTTTTACAAGGCTTACAAGTCAGCTAAATATTGTTTGTTTATGGTTGGGGCTATACATTGTAGTTTAAGAAGGCTTTCAAGTCAGCTAAATATTGTTTGTTTATGGTTGGGGCTATACATTGTAGTTTTACAAGGCTTTCAAGTCAGCTAAATATTGTTTGTTTATGATTGGGGCTATACATTGTAGTTTTACAAGGCTTTCAAGTCAGCTAAATATTGTTTGTTTATGGTTGGGGCTATACATTGTAGTTTTACAAGGCTTTCAAGTCAGCTAAATATTGTTTGTTTATGGTTGGGGCTATACATTGTAGTTTTACAAGGCTTTCAAGTCAGCTAAATATTGTTTGTTTATGGTTGGGGCTATACATTGTAGATTTACAAGGCTTACAAGTCAGCTAAATATTGTTTGTTTATTGTTGGGGCTATACATTGTAGTTTTACAAGGCTTTCAAGTCAGCTAAATATTGTTTGTTTATGGTTGGGGCTATACATTGTAGTTTTACAAGGCTTTCAAGTCAGCTAAATATTGTTTGTTTATGGTTGGGGCTATACATTGTAGTTTTACAAGGCTTTCAAGTCAGCTAAATATTGTTTGTTTATGGTTGGGGCTATACATTGTAGTTTTACAAGGCTTTCAAGTCAGCTAAATATTGTTTGTTTATGGTTGGGGCTATACATTGTAGTTTTACAAGGCTTTCAAGTCAGCTAAATATTGTTTGTTTATGGTTGGGGCTATACATTGTAGTTTTACAAGGCTTTCAAGTCAGCTAAATATTGTTTGTTTATGGTTGGGGCTATACATTGTAGTTTTACAAGGCTTTCAAGTCAGCTAAATATTGTTTGTTTATGGTTGGGGCTATACATTGTAGTTTTACAAGGCTTTCAAGTCAGCTAAATATTGTTTGTTTATGGTTGGGGCTATACATTGTAGTTTAACAAGGCTTACAAGTCAGCTAAATATTGTTTGTTTATGGGTTGGGCTATACATTGTAGTTTTACAAGGCTTTCAAGTCAGCTAAATATTGTTTGTTTATGGTTGGGGCTATACATTGTAGTTTTACAAGGCTTTCAAGTCAGCTAAATATTGTTTGTTTATGGTTGGGGCTATACATTGTAGTTTTACAAGGCTTTCAAGTCAGCTAAATATTGTTTGTTTATGGTTGGGGCTATACATTGTAGTTTTACAAGGCTTTCAAGTCAGCTAAATATTGTTTGTTTATGGTTGGGGCTATACATTATAGATTTACAAAGCTTTCAAGTCAGCTAAATATTGTTTGTTTATGGTTGGGGCTATACATTGTAGTTTTACAAGGCTTACAAGTCAGCTAAATATTGTTTGTTTATGGTTGGGGCTATACATTGTAGTTTTACAAGGCTTTCAAGTCAGCTAAATATTGTTTGTTTATGGTTGGGGCTATACATTGTAGTTTTACAAGGCTTTCAAGTCAGCTAAATATTGTTTGTTTATTGTTGGGGCTATACATTGTAGTTTTACAAGGCTTTCAAGTCAGCTAAATATTGTTTGTTTATGGTTGGGGCTATACATTGTAGTTTTACAAGGCTTTCAAGTCAGCTAAATATTGTTTGTTTATGGTTGGGGCTATACATTGTAGTTTTACAAGGCTTTCAAGTCAGCTAAATATTGTTTGTTTATGGTTGGGGCTATACATTGTAGTTTTACAAGGCTTACAAGTCAGCTAAATATTGTTTGTCTATGGTTGGGGCTATACATTGTAGTTTAACAAGGCTTACAAGTCAGCTAAATATTGTTTGTTTATGGGTTGGGCTATACATTGTAGTTTTACAAGGCTTTCAAGTCAGCTAAATATTGTTTGTTTATGGTTGGGGCTATACATTGTAGTTTTACAAGGCTTTCAAGTCAGCTAAATATTGTTTGTTTATGGTTGGGGCTATACATTGTAGTTTTACAAGGCTTTCAAGTCAGCTAAATATTGTTTGTTTATGGTTGGGGCTATACATTATAGATTTACAAAGCTTTCAAGTCAGCTAAATATTGTTTGTTTATGCTTGGGGCTATACATTGTAGTTTTACAAGGCTTTCAAGTCAGCTAAATATTGTTTGTTTATGGTTGGGGCTATACATTGTAGTTTTACAAGGCTTTCAAGTCAGCTAAATATTGTTTGTTTATGGTTGGGGCTATACATTATAATTGAGTTTGAATATTCTTTCAATAGAAGTAATATGATAGTTAGGTTCCCTAATAAATGGGGAGGGAAAAATCATATCAATGTAGTGTTCGTGTTTTAATAAATGTTTTATTATTACCAGTTCCATCACGTCTGTGATGTTGATCAGCCATGTTTGTGGTCAAGCGTAAGTAGTGCGGCAGTGTTGTGTAGGTGCGCAGGGAAGCGGTCATAAAATCAGACGCATTTTTCGATCCAAATTGATAGTGTCTACTTTCTTGTCCAATAAAATGCGAGTATTTCACGAAGTAATGGCAGAAGTAATCATATCAACGTAAACACATCAACGACAGTGCTAATATATGACAACAAATGATGAATTTGCGAACATGACGCAATTGGGGTACGATGACTTGTGTCAACCAAGTCTGCGAGCCTGACCACACACACCCATCCCCCCACCCGCCTCTTACGACAAGCATGGGTTGTTGAACACCACTTAAAACCAGGATCTTCACGTGTCTCAATAAACAGACAATCACATCAGATGGAGACACATTTTTATCCCCCGCAACGCGTTTTGCGGGGTATTAACATGCGCTCCGTCCGTCCGTCAGTGCACATTAGTCTTTTCCGGAGCAGAACTTTTAAGCCGGTCACTATTTCTTCACCAGTCTTGACACATAGATAGAACTGGTGGTGTACTGGTGCCTTTTGGTAGTTTTGGAATTCTGAATAAAATATGTCCTTTTTTGGCGTTTCCAACAAGTTTGACTTTGACTGAAATTGGTGGTAATGTTCTTTTCCGGGGCAGAACATTAAAACTGTTCGCTATTTCAACAAACTTGGCACATGGATGGGTCTGGTGATGTACTTGTGCCCTTTGGTATTTTTTGAATTCTGAATAAGAAAATAGGTTTTCATTCCAACAAGTTTGGCTTCGACTGAATTTGTTGGTGGTAGTGCTCCTTTCTGGAGACGAACTTAAATATCTTTCAATACTCTCCCTCCACAATACCCTGGATGCATCTACGACTCGGCCCGATAATTTTATGACCTCCCTTAGCTGACTCCGCATTCGCACAGTAACCAGTCAAATAAGCCGTTACAACCGAACTTGCCAGTGTCAACAAAGATAGCGGCCGTAGCCGCGAAGATTTGCTCGCTGTGCGATTCAGATGTAGGAGAAAATCACACAGACAAATTTAAAAGTCTGAAACCTTCAAAAAATATATGCAAGAACTCCTTCTACCTCTTTCAGAGTGCCTCTGAAACAATTGTGTTGTCAAGTTTAATCGGTTAGATAAGAGAAGCGAAAGAGAGTTATGATAGAAACCTTGTGATTGGTACGCCAAACTTCCCAGCGTAGACACTGGATTGGATAAAAAGCCAGCCATGGGAGGTAATAAAATTATCGGCCAGAGCCGTAGATGCATCCAGTGTATATTGGAGGTTTATCCGAACGTATATCCTTGAGATTGTCGAGGATGAGATGTACAGGATAACATGACAATGAAATTTCAAAACAGTAAGTTTACCGCTATACATGTACACAAAAAGTAACTGTGTTCCACTAGAGATGTTGCTTGTGTGAGATCAAACGATATATCCTAGGAGATGACATCACAATGTTATGACGTCTTAAACTTGATGACGTCACAATGCTATGACATCGATGCACTGCGACAGTGCCGTGTTCAGAAAAGTACAGTTTTCATTGAAAATTAATGAAGAAGGATTTTGATGATAAATATAATCTCACCCTCGTGTCTTCTGATATCAAATATATATACACTCGTTGATAAAAGTAAAAAGCCTCGGATATTTGTAACTTTATCAACTCGTGGTGATATATTTGAT